GATTCCGAAAATCATGGTCTCTAGGGTGGAAATATTGACCGTTCTCGAGATAGAACCGTCTAAAGTTCTTACCACCCATGACCGGGCCATCCCGATTTGGCTGAAAATTGGCTCACAGAGCCTTCTCAGCACGCTGATTCCGAAAATCATGGTCTCTAGGGTGGAAATGAGAAGGCTCTGTGCTGAGAAGGCTCTGTGAGCCAATTTTCAGCCAAATCGGGATGGCCCGGTCATGGGTGGTAAGAACTTTAGAGGGTTCTATCTCGAGAACGGTCAATATTTCCACCCTAGAGACCATGATTTTCGGAATCAGCGTGCTGACAAGGCTCTGTGAGCCAATTTTCAGCCAAATCGAGATGGCCCGGTCATGGATGGTGAGAACTTTAGAGGGTTCTATCTCGAGAACGGTCAATATTTCCACCCTAGAGACCATGATTTTCGGAATCAGCGTGCTGAGAAGGCTCTGTGAGCCAATTTTCAGCCAAATCGGGATGGCCTGGTCATGGGTGGTAAGAACTTTAGAGGGTTCTATCTCGAGAACGGTCAATATTTCCACCCTAGAGACCATGATTTTCGGAATCAGCGTGCTGAGAAGGCTCTGTGAGCAAATTTTCAGCCAAATCGGGATGGCCCGGTCATGGATGGTAAGAACTTTAGAGGGTTCTATCTCGAGAACGGTCAATATTTCCACCCTAGAGACCATGATTTTCGGAATCAGCGTGCTGAGAAGGCTCTGTGAGCTAATTTTCAGCCAAATCGGGATGGCCCGGTCATAGATGGTAAGAACTTTAGAGGGTTCTATATCGAGAACGGTCAATATTTCCACTCTAGAGACCATGATTTTCGGAATCAGCGTGCTGAGAAGGCTCTGTGAGCCAATTTTCAGCCAAATCGGGATGGCCCGGTCATGGATGGTAAGAATTTTAGAGGGTTCTCTCTCGAGAACGGTCAATATTTCCACCCTAGAGACCATGATTTTCGGAATCAGCGTGCTGAGAAGGCTCTGTGAGCCAATTTTCAGCCAAATCGGGATGGCCCGGTCATGGGTGGTAAGAACTTTAGAGGGTTTTATCTCGAGAACGGTCAATATTTCCACCCTAGAGACCATGATTTTCGGAATCAGCGTGCTGAGAAGGCTCTGTGAGCCAATTTTCAGCCAAATCGGGATGGCCCAGTCATGGGTGGTAAGAACTTTAGAGGGTTCTATCTCGAGAACGGTCAATATTTCCACCCTAGAGACCATGATTTTCGGAATCAGCGTGCTGAGAAGGCTCTGTGAGCCAAATTTCAGCTAAATCGGGATGGCCCGTTTCTCGCTGCTGGACTCGCTGCGAGGGTTCTATCTCGAGAACAGTCAATATTTCCACCCTAGAGACCATGATTTTCGGAATCAGCGTGCTGAGAAGGCTCTGTGAGCCAATTTTCAGCCAAATCGGGATGGCCCGGTCATGGATGGTAAGAATTTTAGAGGGTTCTCTCTCGAGAACGGTCAATATTTCCACCCTAGAGACCATGATTTTTGGAATCAGCGTGCTGAGAAGGCTCTGTGAGCCAATTTTCAGCCAAATCGGGATGGCCCGGTCACGGGTGGTAAGAACTTTAGAGGGTTCTATCTCGAGAACGGTCAATATTTCCACCCTAGAGACCATGATTTTCGGAATCAGCGTGCTGAGAAGGCTCTGTGAGCCAATTTTCAGCCAAATCAGGATGGCCCGGTCATGGATGGTAAGAACTTTAGAGGGTTCTATCTCGAGAATGGTCAATATTTCCACCCTAGAGACCATGATTTTCGGAATCAGCGTGCTGAGAAGGCTCTGTGAGCCAATTTTCAGCCAAATCGGGATGGCCCGGTCATGGATGGTAAGAACTTTAGAGGGTTCTATCTCGAGAACGGTCAATATTTCCACCCTAGAGACCATGATTTTCGGAATCAGCGTGCTGAGAAGGTACTGTGAGCCAATTTTCAGCCAAATCGGGATGGCCCGGTCATGGATGGTAAGAACTTTAGAGGGTTCTATCTCGAGAACGGTCGATATTTCCACCCTAGAGACCATGATTTTCGGAATCACCGTGCTGAGAAGGCTCTGTGAGCCAATTTTCAGCCAAATCGGGATGGCCCGGTCATGGGTGGTAAGAACTTTAGAGGGTTCTATCTCGAGAACGGTCAATATTTCCACCCTAGAGACCATGATTTTCGGAATCAGCGTGCTGAGAAGGCTCTGTGAGCCAATTTTCAGCCAAATCGGGATGGCCCGGTCATGGATAGAAAGAACCTTAGAGGGTTCTATCTCGAGAACGGTCAATATTTCCACCCTAGAGACCATGATTTTCGGAATCAGCGTGCTGAGAAGGCTCTGTGAGCCAATTTTCAGCCAAATCGGGATGGCCCGGTCATGGGTGGTAAGAACTTTAGAGGGTTCTATCTCGAGAACGGTCAATATTTCCACCCTAGAGACCATGATTTTCGGAATCAGCGTGCTGAGAAGGCTCTGTGAGCCAATTTTCAGCCAAATCGGGATGGCCCGGTCATGGGTGGTAAGAACTTTAGAGGGTTCTATCTCGAGAACGGTCAATATTTCCACCCTAGAGACCATGATTTTCGGAATCAGCGTGCTGAGAAGGCTCTGTGAGCCAAATTTCAGCTAAATCGGGATGGCCCGTTTCTCGCTGCTGGACTCGCTGCGAGGGTTCTATCTCGAGAACAGTCAATATTTCCACCCTCGAGACCATGATTTTCGGAATCAGCGTGCTGAGAAGGCTCTGTGAGCCAATTTTCAGCCAAATCGGGATGGCCTGGTCATGGATGGTAAGAATTTTAGAGGGTTCTCTCTCGAGAACGGTCAATATTTCCACCCTAGAGACCATGATTTTCGGAATCAGCGTGCTGAGAAGGCTCTGTGAGCCAATTTTCAGCCAAATCGGGATGGCCCGGTCATGGGTGGTAAGAACTTTAGAGGGTTCTATCTCGAGAACGGTCAATATTTCCACCCTAGAGACCATGATTTTCGGAATCAGCGTGCTGAGAAGGCTCTGTGAGCCAATTTTCAGCCAAATCGGGATGGCCCGGTCATGGATGGTAAGAACTTTAGAGGGTTCTATCTCGAGAATGGTCAATATTTCCACCCTAGAGACCATGATTTTCGGAATCAGCGTGCTGAGAAGGCTCTGTGAGCCAATTTTCAGCCAAATCGGGATGGCCCGTTCATGGATGGTAAGAACTTTAGAGGGTTCTATCTCGAGAACGGTCAATATTTCCACCCTAGAGACCATGATTTTCGGAATCAGCGTGCTGAGAAGGCTCTGTGAGCCAATTTTCAGCCAAATCGGGATGGCCCGGTCATGGATGGTAAGAACTTTAGAGGGTTCTATCTCGAGAACGGTCGATATTTCCACCCTAGAGACCATGATTTTCGGAATCACCGTGCTGAGAAGGCTCTGTGAGCCAATTTTCAGCCAAATCGGGATGGCCCGGTCATGGGTGGTAAGAACTTTAGAGGGTTCTATCTCGAGAACGGTCAATATTTCCACCCTAGAGACCATGATTTTCGGAATCAGCGTGCTGAGAAGGCTCTGTGAGCCAATTTTCAGCCAAATCGGGATGGCCCGGTCATGGATAGAAAGAACCTTAGAGGGTTCTATCTCGAGAACGGTCAATATTTCCACCCTAGAGACCATGATTTTCGGAATCAGCGTGCTGCGAAGGCTCTGTGAGCCAATTTTCAGCCAAATCGGGATGGCCCGGTCATGGATGGTAAGAACTTTAGAGGGTTCTATCTCGAGAATGGTCAATATTTCCACCCTAGAGACCATGATTTTCGGAATCAGCGTGCTGAGAAGGCTCTGTGAGCCAATTTTCAGCCAAATCGGGATGGCCCGGTCATGGATGGTAAGAACTTTAGAGGGTTCTATCTCGAGAACGGTCAATATTTCCACCCTAGAGACCATGATTTTCGGAATCAGCGTGCTGAGAAGGCTCTGTGAGCCAATTTTCAGCCAAATCGGGATGGCCCGGTCATGGATGGTAAGAACTTAAGAGGGTTCTATCTCGAGAACGGTCAATATTTCCACCCTAGAGACCATGATTTTCGGAATCAGCGTGCTGAGAAGGCTCTGTGAGCCAATTTTCAGCCAAATCGGGATGGCCCGGTCATGGGTGGTAAGAACTTTAGAGGGTTCTATCTCGAGAACGGTCAATATTTCCACCCTAGAGACCATGATTTTCGGAATCAGCGTGCTGAGAAGGCTCTGTGAGCCAATTTTCAGCCAAATCGGGATGGCCCGGTCATGGGTGGTAAGAACTTTAGAGGGTTCTATCTCGAGAACGGTCAATATTTCCACCCTAGAGACCATGATTTTCGGAATCAGCGTGCTGAGAAGGCTCTGTGAGCCAATTTTCAGCCAAATCGGGATGGCCCGGTCATGGATGGTAAGAACTTTAGAGGGTTCTATCTCGAGAACGGTCAATATTTCCACCCTAGAGACCATGATTTTCGGAATCAGCGTGCTGAGAAGGCTCTGTGAGCCAATTTTCAGCCAAATCGGGATGGCCCGGTCATGGATGGTAAGAACTTTAGAGGGTTCTACTTCTATCTCGAGAACGGTCAATATTTCCACCCTAGAGACCATGATTTTCGGAATCAGCGTGCTGAGAAGGCTCTGTGAGCCAATTTTCAGCCAAATCGGGATGGCCCGGTCATGGGTGGTAAGAACTTTAGAGGGTTCTATCTCGAGAACGGTCAATATTTCCACCCTAGAGACCATGATTTTCGGAATCAGCGTGCTGAGAAGGCTCTGTGAGCCAATTTTCAGCCAAATCGGGATGGCCCGGTCATGGGTGGTAAGAACTTTAGAGGGTTCTATCTCGAGAACGGTCAATATTTCCACCCTAGAGACCATGATTTTCGGAATCAGCGTGCTGAGAAGGCTCTGTGAACCAAATTTCAGCTAAATCGGGATGGCCCGTTTCTCGCTGCTGGACTCGCTGCTCGCTGCTCGCTGCTAGTTTGACAGACGTCAAAACTGCTGTCACAACAGAAACGTTTTTTTTTCTCGATTGCATTTGTGAAATTATTTATTAAACAGAAGATGATCTTTCCAAAAAACTGACTGATTTCATATACAGATGCATGGAAAATAAAAAAATCCTGGTAAGTTTATTTGTATTGTTTTGTCGATTTTGACATGCTCCTAGTTTGCAGCCATATTTCGATATGTTCTACAGGGAGTTCATAATTATTTCAGGACCAATCTTTTCCTCGTTCATTTTCCCATCGACCATGAAATTTTTAGAGCGGAACAATTAGTTTCCAGGCGGTCCGAGCGGTTTTCGTGAGAAGGGTACAAAAATCGACGTCATTTTTAGAGCCTCGACACCAGCTCAACACAGGACCCTATGGGAGGCGGTGAAGTAGCGGGAGCAATAAATAGAGCGCTTTAATTTTAGCTTATTTCCCTGGTGTGTCACCGACTGAAATGGGAAAAACCATTTGACTTATTGAACACTTTTCCAAATGGTTCCAAAGAGGTTCCATTTGAAATGTGTCCAATTGGCCACCAATTGGTACCAATTGGAACCATTTCATGACCATTTGAAATGTGTCCAATTGGTACCAATTGGTGACCAATTGGATACATTTCAAATGGTCATGAAATGGTTCCAATTGGTACCAATTGGTGGCCAATTGGACACATTTCAAATGGAACCTCTTTGGAACCATTTGGAAAAGTGTTCAATAAGTCAAATGGTTTTTCCCATTTGGAACCATTTGGTAATTTCTAATGGTATTTTTTACTGGGAGAGTCTCCCACATGCCAATGACTTTCGAAAAACATCTGCGAGTGGTGACGCGATCGATCGTGCGGTTTCCCGAAGAATCCTTGGGTGTAGGCCGTTTGGGCCAGGTGAGCTAGACGTCTTGAGCTTCTTTAACTTGCCCAGTACCAGTTCGTCTGTGATGACGATCCTGTCGAGCTGGGTTTCTCCACAGGGGACTGGTGTGAGGGAAAATGTGGCAAGGTCCTCTTCCGTGTAGACACTTGAAAAGAACTTGTTCAGCATGAATGCCTTCTCGCCGTCATTAGTGGCCAAAACCCCGTTGTCATCCTTCAAGTCGCCTACCCCTGGCCTTGTTTTCGTCCTTGAATTGGTATACTTCCAGAACTTCTTTGGGTCATCCTTGATCCTTGCAGTCACGTCCAGTTCGTAGTCTCTCCTCAGTCTCCTTGTTAGCCCTCTTAGCTTGTTCTTGGCTCGCTTGAAGCGTGCTAGGTCAATCATCAATGGCATTCTTGGACTGAACGTACTGCGCCCAGAGCTCGTTCTTCAACTTTTTCAGATTTACGTACAACCTAATTTACAACCTAAATCTACTTATATACCACATAACTTTACCTGACTCAATGAGTGGTTGGGTGCAACTTATAAATGTTTTGGGTAAAAAGTATCATAAGTATCTATGTGTGATCTCACTTTTCTACCTTAGAAGGATGTGTTCTTTCTTTTCATGATTTTGTTTTGTGAATTTCTTCAGCTTTAAAAGAGTGCAAAAGTGGGAAATGACCGCATCTTAAGCTGTCTTAGTTTTCGAGATAACCTGGTGTGGTGTGGCCAAAGTTAGCTGAGAGGCCCACCATGGTTTGGTTTAAATCAAAGCTGTGAACTAATAACCTACATGTACCAAACTAATCATTGCATTGCATTTCAGGTGAAATTACTGAGGAGCTCAGTAATAGTTTGATTGCAGAGCATGCTTAATGGAAGAGTGGTATGTCTAAGAGGGTTCAGGTGTCTCAGATCAAAACGAAAATGCAGTGCCCAGCATCAGATCACAAGATTAAACCATCAGGACGAAAGCCCCCAGCATGACAGTTTGGGAGAGGCAGAGGACGCTGAACCGAATTTCGATCTGTACCCTTCACATGTTCCGACATCATTTGCTCAAAAAGTGATTTTGGGCCTTGGATCATCTGTTGTTGGATTACTAGATCCAACTAGAGCTGGTAATTATGCAACGCTACGTGATTTGTTTTACTTTTTTGTCTAAACATGTCAATGCTTTTTATACATTCACAGTGTGCTTGGTATTACTTAAGAACAATTTTCATTAACCATTTGGTAAAAGCGTGCAACATTTCTTAGATACCACTTACCTACCAAGCCAATCATCTTTTAGCTTCTTTTGCTTGCCACCAATTATTTGCGAAGCTGTGAAACCATTTTATTTCAGATATGGTTGCTGTTTCGGGAGAGACAACAGGAGCTCTAGTTCTGCCATGTCTGCTAAGCAAAATGCAGCAGCACCCAGAGGGCAGAGAAATACTTAAGTATGTATTCAATATTCATCACTTTAATTTATTGCTGTGATTTGTACAATAACATTATAAACATGGCATGTAATTTACTGTTTTTTTTTATCAGGTGTTACCTGATGCAAACAACTTCAGCTGGCAGCCTGCAACAGCGTCAGTTTGTAGATCAGTGTCTCCTGTAGCTGTAGGTACACGTATTCGGTCTGTGATTGTCTATATGTAGCATAGTGCCTATTTTACAGGGATCGACCGATCATCAACTCGGGCACGGTGGACCTGGCTGCACTCTCGCGTCTGCCGGACGGCACCCTGGGCCGGGAGTACATCCGCTTCCTGGAGCAACAGGTCGGTCCCTGGGAAAGCCAGAGTGGCATGGGGGGGGGCCTGACTATCAACGAATAGAGCATCAATTTTTGCTTTCTAGGCGCGCTATGGGGCGTAAAAGTCGGTAACGGTTAGAGTATAATGGGCGGTGCCAGAGGTAGTGTTAAGTATAACTGTATTGGATGATTTTGTTATCACCACCAGTAAAGGAAAAAAGAAAACGATTTCATGGATCACCGCTGCCAAAAAGTGATGCATAATGTGATGGAAAATGTGTTGCTGAGCAGAACGTGACGTCACTCCCCACCGACAAAATATGACCTCTCCCTCCCCATAGTGCTGCTGTCATCACATAACTTCTCCCCATGCCGTCAGAAAGTGACACCGGACAGCCGCGACCCGGTGCGATTCGTGGACGACGCCGAGCAGGCGTACGTGATGCAGCGGTACCGCGAGTCGCACGACCTGGTGCACACCCTGCTCGGCATGCCGACCAACCTGCTCGGTACGACAGCAGAGGGGCGCGGGTCGGAGACTCGGAGCACATCCGACCCGTGTTTAATCAATTTGGAGTAGGCATAGCGCTCGTAGAAAATCGTGAGTGTAACGACGCGAAAAAAAATGTAATCTGTTTGCAGCAATTGGGAAAGGTGAAGTTCTCACGTCCATGCGTTCAATGTCGATTGCTGTGAGAATCGCTTCACCTGATCAGCTGTGAGGACGTTTTGCTGGGTTGGCGAACTGTTGTGGCAAGTTGTTTTGCTCGGTTCGAGCTGTTTGAGCGCGCGTGAGCTACATGGCCTGTATATGGACCGCGGTAATTGCTAGTGATCTTATTACGACGTGGTATATGGACTATTGAGTCTTACGCTCCATAAACTTAACTGTTGTGGCCCCCTAAATCCTAATGATCTTTGCGCGAGACGCGCGTGTCCGACTGTGTTGACGGGATGGCCGTCTGTAACGGAGCCGCCCTCTCCGCCCTGTGCCCACAGGCGAGGTCACTGTGAAATGGGTGGAAGGTCTGCAGACCGGTCTGCCCATGTGCGTCGGAGGTGGCCTACTGGCGCCCCTCAGACTCAAACCAAAGTGAGTTGGAACATTTATTGACGACCATTGCCGTGAGACTACTGGCATCTATGCCTGGCTATTACGAGATCATGTGGTCGTTTATCGTATATTGTCGCATAAATTTAAATTTATTGGTATTGTTGCCTCACAGCTTCTGGCCATCCACAAATCTGATCCTACCTTCATTGTCCTTTGACCTCGTGACCTTTGAAACTCTCCTGACCCTTTGAAACTTGCCCCGACCTTTTAGCTGCCCACCCCTGTTCTCTAGTCTTACTTCTGGCCCTCCTCTGTTCCTCTGACCTCTAACTGTCCACTGAACCCCTCCACTGACCCCTCTGACCTCTGACAACTCTGCCCCCCCCCCCCAGACATCGTCAGCGGTTCCGTACCGAGTGTCTGCCCTGGGCTCTGCGGGCCGGCCGCGACGCGCGCTTCCTGCTCTCGGTGTACTGGGAGCGGCGCTGGGAGCAGCCACTGGCCGAGCTGCGCCAGGAGCTCGGTGTGCCGCCGCCCCCCGACCTCCTCCGCACGGCACAGAAGCAGCAGCCGGCGACAGAGGCGCCGTCGGAGCCCGCGCCGCCAGAGCCCGCGCCGCCAGAGCCCGCCGCGTCCACCCACTGAGGTGACGGGCCCCAGGCCTCGGTGGGCGGGGTAGTGCGAGGGTGCTTTGGCCGATGTAGTGGGGAGGTGGGGTGAAGGGGAGGTGCTTAAGTGGGGAAGGTTTAATCAGCAAGCGGCTCTTTGATGATGCGTGAGCTTATATTCGCGTCTCCCCCCCCCCCCCTCCACACACACAGACGGTCAAGTGATGATATTGTTGCCAGTGATGATATGCTTGTTAGTGAGTATTTTTAAGTCGCATCACAATTACACTTTCACGATCAAATATCGGAGCTATAGTAGCATCAGTGATATATGTGAAAACGGATGCTGCAGTTCCTTTACGACAGTCTTAGAATGAAGGAAGGGTGTTTCGAGTTGTCAAAAAAGTCGTCTCGCAATACTTTATTGTTGAGCCAAGGACAGTCATGCAGCTCACGAGTTTCAGTTATTTTGATTACTCCCCCGTTTAAAATGAATAATACATAGGTCGGAAATGTTTGCGTTTTAAACAACCAACACAATATCCTAAGCTTCATTTTGCCAACACAAGTTTTATATTTTTATGGGAATCGGTCATGTTATGTCTGACACCTGTTATTCTTAAACATTCAGTCATGTCAAAATACTGTTGTTTTTCGTGAAACCTTTCGTCTTCTTATTGCCGTTGGTGCATAAGCCCGTGGGGGCGTAGCAACAATTTGATTGTGCTGGCTCATACATTAAGTGCGATTCACGGCTTCACGACTTTTGTTGCTCTTCAAAGTTGTGAATAAAGACCAACGCTATAACTCGCTTCGACTTGTTTTAGATACGTTATATACCTAAATCGACTAGAATTAGGACTCCTTTCGATACAATATACGTTTTCGCAATACCATGCTGACGTGTATGCAGTTATTTGGCCTAATCCTTTACCTGCTCATTTCATATCTAGGTACCGTCCGCAGTAGTCACCTCGGTAACCGGTAAAGGTATTGCGAGACCATGAGACGACCGAGTCAAGGTCAGATCACTGCAGGTCACCAAGAGTAGTTTTTTGCGACCAATGTTTTGGAGGTCATTTAATCACGGAACGCAATGTTGAGATTCATTTAGTGGTGAAAAGCAACCAGTGGTAGATGACCTACCAAACGTTGACATAGTCATTGGAGTCATGGTCAACTCGAACCCAGGTCAAAGCAGGTTCCCAAAAATGATTGTTGGCGTAAGCTGTAGGAAATACTCGATCCTTTTTGACATTTTTTGTTTGATATTTTGCTAGCTGGAAGTTATTATTTCTCGAATAAGGCGCACAATACCGCCCACACAAAAACGAACGCCACTGCAGAATCAGCACCCCTCATTTATGTGCTCGTCTCACCGCGCCGGTGTATGCGCGCTCGTCCAAATTCGACGCATCGCGCTGCGACTGCGGCTTTCACCCTCACTGACGGCACAGTCCCGCGGCAACGCGTCGCTTCTCGAGCGTGCCCCGCGGCGGCGCCGGCCGCTGGCGGAGCCCGCGTGAGCGCGGTGCGAGCCGCCAGTCGACAGCCCGGCGCGCAGTGAGTGGGCCGCCGCAGTCGGAGAAAGTGCGTGTGGATGTACGCTGTGTCCAGCAACCACTGGTGACATAGGGACATGTGTTTAGTGTTGGTGTGAGAAGACGATTCTGGTCGGGCTGTGGATCGTTGAAGAAACGAAAAAAGTGCGTTAGAGGCGGCACCTGTTTCGGTTTCGTCCGGGGTTTAGCGTTATTCAATCAGTAAGTCAAAGGGGGCAGCTGTGATAACTACAGCTGGCAAAGCCTGACAAAGGCCGTCGTTAGCATCCTATAGACGGAGTACTTTTGTGTATCGCCAGTCGCAACTGCTGTTTAAACAGCTGTGTCAATCGGTCATGTGCACCCCAGGTGTCCGTGTGGATAGAGGTCAAGCCAACAGTGTAAAAGGTAGAGGAATAGGTAGCAGGTAACAGTTTGGTAGTCGAGTGTGTCATGGTTCATATGCTAACGATTTTATGTTGATGTGGTTATTGTGGAGTTGAACGTGTCTTTTGCTATGAGCGTGCCTAATGCTCGGATGATTCAACGCTTTGCCTTTAGAACCCTTCCAGTTGTCCCTGGTTTCCCGATGGGACGGTGGCCCTGAACTGCGAACTGCGTAAAAAAGCTTCGTAAACAAGTTGGGCTGGGCGGATCGTCGCGTCTCGTGCTTCATCCTTCCAATCAAAAGGCTAGAACCGAACCGACAACTGTACTTTTTACTTTTTAGTCTATTACATTGTTCGTCAAATGGGAAGTCTCGAATCACGACTTTGACCTTACGTTCAAATGCCTAGGGGTATTAATTCTACCAGGTATCGTGATGCCTTACCCTCTTGCACCCTCTGTGCCCTCTCTTGCAGCCATGTCACTTTCTCTATCTGAGTTTCTCCCCCTCTTGATGCGTCCGTTTTATTCCGATCACGTATTTCGACCTTCAGCCCGCCACCCTCCCGACCTCGAACTCCGACCTCATACACACCACGGGAACAATACGGAAACGCTACCGCTCTAGTCAAAGATTCCGTGTCCGTCACGAGGTCATGTCGTCCCGGTAAGTGATTACCAAACAATGTCTTTGGCTTTCGATTGTTTCTGTGAATGGAAATTTGGGTATGAATGCACACACTATTTGAATGGCACGTTTCTGAAATAGTCATCTGTTCGCTTCAAACTTGACTTATGATGACATGAGGGCACAACATGAGATACCTACTCCTTTATAGAAATAGCTCATGCCCACGGGTTCTTGTCGCATAGCTTTTAGTATCCTACTCACTGAAACGTGTTGTCACCCCCACGAGGTTGATAGTCACCTATTCTTTTAGCAGTCGTCGCTTCCCAGTGCTTGGTCGGGCTAAATCAGTGGCGACCGATTATCATCATTTGGTGCAATCGCTGGTATCCTGTCTGCCCGATGTGGATAGTAAACAGGAACTCAAGTCCCAGTTCCAACCACGACACGACTACGCGAAGTACAGCTTCGTCCTCCGGAAACGCCTACCGTTTGGCCCTGAGCCGTATTGTTAGTCATATGATTGTACACGGGCCGTGACTATTGCACGCTGGCCGTGACTGTATCGTGCACGGGCCGTGATTTGGCCGTGCATCGTGCACGGGCCGCCGGCCGTGACCACTGCTCCCTGTCTGGGCCCGTGCAGTGCTCGTGCACACCGTTTTGAGAACGTGCTGTGAGGGTTAAACGTGACCAAATACTGTTTTCACTGCTTTGCGGTATGAAGTAATGAACGGCACCGCATGTTTGTTTCGTTTAGGTTGACTTAAGACCTTTCATCTCTCTTTTGTCTTGTATCCTGTTTGACCAGAGTGTTCTGAACTTTTAAGAAGTCAGCTATTCGATCCATCATTTGACGTCACGCTCATACATTTTATCCATGTGGTCTGCCTGCCCTCTTGTCTGTTTTGTGCAGGAATGTTACATGCCTGGCCCAACCCTCTGACATACTGTTGTCAAACCGTATTGTCCTTCTAGTGCGGCCTTTGCCTCACCACCCTTCGCTGCATGGCGCTGAGTTACCATGTCGTCCCTATTTCTCCCTTGTAGCTAATAGTTGGGATCATGTGGCATTTCCCACTATTGGACCCATAGTCACATGACCCGTCTTATCACGGTACTCGCCTTTTTTCAGCCCCCGCCTCCGCTATGGATAACGCCGCTTTGGATATAACCGAGGACGAGGTAAATACAGTCGTCTGTCATTGATGTATTTCTGAAAACTCGGTCAAATCGGCCGGGATTTCTGCTTGCCACAAATGACGCCTGACAGTGCATACCGGTCGCCGGTGAAACCTAACCTTGCATACGGCTTACTCGTGAATCATTGCTCAAGGTCGGGCTCGTGTAGTGAAAAATGTTATGCCTGTCTTTGTAAGATTCTATGCCTAAGTTTATAGGACTTTCCTCATGGGACTGAGGCTCTTGCGGTTATTGTGCCAATTCACCGTTTTTTAGTTCCCAGTTGTTTGGTGAGCCTGCGATAAATTCACGAATCGATCCCTACATCGATAAAGTTACGGCATTATTTAATAGGGGTAAAGTCAGGATTGTATCAATAAACATTCTGGCTTTGCCAATTAGTTAAACATTGCTTCATTCTCCGACGAGAGTTTGAAGCATGAAACGGCAAAGTTTGGAATGCAGTTGGAAAGTTAGGAAGTCTTGTGGGTCATACATTTTCTCTCATAGACCTTACGAATCGTTCACATTACGACAGTGTTGCAGTGCTTTTCATAAGTGCTTTTAAAAGTTCGCTAGCACAGCGGCTGATCCTGCCCCTTTCACCTTTCCTCCTTTCCGCAGCTGCCTCCGAAGCCTACCAACGGCTCGCACCACCACGGCGATGCCTCCATTGAGCTGCGGCAGCGCGTGGCAGCTGACGGCCCGGCCGCCGCCGGCGGTGCCGGGCCCAAGGACGACAACTACGTGCCGCGGCCCGAGATGCTGTATGAGGTGGACGACACGCCTCCCTGGTACTACTGCATAGTGCTCGGGTTTCAGGTGCGGCCCTGTAAGCGACTGGCAGGATGGTGGAAAGGCTGAGAACGTTATAGGCTGCCAGTGGGCCGAGCTAGGCGGGGTGGTGTCTTGTGACGCGTTGGAGTTACCATGCATATTCTTTCGATGCATGTTACGGCCTACGACACTAGGATTTGCCGGCTGACATTCACGTCACATATGATTGCGGTGGAAAATCCCGTACCAAGGGTTATTTTTAGCAGCTGTGGTGACTGTAGGTAGCTCAGTAGAACAGACCAGTTCGTCCTTCCAGATTTTTTATGAGAAACTCACTCGATCAAGCTGGTCTCATTGCTTTGGAATTCAATAGGCAAAGTTTCAGACAGATGTCTGATAAATGATAATTCATTGCTAGATAATCATTAGTGGAATCAAGCTGGCATATATTTTTGGTACTTTCATTTTGCGGCGATTCCCGAGTCAGGCTTTTGTCGCCGGCCAATAATTGTGACCTATCAAAGAGAAGTTACGATCTTTTAAACGTTGCCCTACTCACGACAGCAATATGCTGCCCCGTGCCCACTGACCCTAGTCTTCACTCCTCTCGTTTTCAGCAATACCTGACAATGTTCGGTAGTACGGTGTCCATCCCTCTGATCGTCACACCCGCCATGTGTATGGAGGAGAGTGACCCGGCGCGCGGCTACGTCATCGGCACCATCCTCTTCGTCTCCGGGATCGTCACCCTGCTGCAGGTCACCTTCGGCGTCAGGTGAGAGATTGGGTCAGCTCCCAGACGGCGGCACTTATGTGCTCAATAACACCACCTTAGTCCACACATCGTTCTCCTGGTCTTTTCGCGTCTTTTTACCTTCATTCATGGGAAATAGTTGGCGTTCGGGAATCATGAACTCACTGCTGTCCATGCCTCGAAGTTTCGTCCTTTCATCGCCATGCATGTTGAACATTTAATGAATTATATCTGGATAAAATCAATAAAGGACATTCGTAAAGAGGTGCTCATCGAACAAAGACGCATACAACCTAACTGTACCGAAGCATAACCTGTTCCACGTTACTGGCTACCGATATCTGAATCTAACACATCCGTGGCGTTCTCCACAGGTTATCGATCGTGCAGGGCGGCAACTTTTCCTTCCTGACGCCGACGTTCACACTGCTCAGCCTGCCG